TATTTATATTTATATTTATATTTATATTTATATTTATATTTATATTTATATTTCTTTTACATTTATATTTATTTTTATTATTCACAAATTATTCCCTGACGATACTCCAAAACTTCTCGAATATAATAAATATTGTGTTTTTTTAAAGTTCCCATAAATATAATTCCCGTTCAATATATTGCCTTTAATCTAAGCTTTTTCATTCGCACATTAAACACTTCCACCTATCACCTATTCACCCTACCTCTTGTCCCGTTATGGCCTAGGCCTAACTAACCTCTCAATTGTTCGTCAAACACTTTGTGCGCACACACACACGTGTTGACAATATTTCATCATGAAATCATCTACATAATGAAATAGATGCAGCTATAGACTTAGTTACTGATGCTCGCTCCCTGTCCGAAAAACTAGTTACATTTTGGAATGCTGTCAAGTTTTTGGGTGTGCTGTGTAGGACGCCGCTGAGGCTGCGCTGCTCATGCAGAGTGCATGCGATGATATAGACCTGACATAGTGGCCAAGGGCAACACATCAGAGAGACATCAATAGACAGAGCAACACAGTTGGACAACAACGAGAACAAGCAAAGAGAAGCTGCTTGCGCAACCCCAGCGACCACAGAAATAAAGTTCTTCGTGTGTTGCTGGTCGCGTAAACTTAATGGAGTTCGGCAAAAGGCCACAGGGAAAAGGGCGAAGGGGAGGGGGGAAGGAGAAGGCATGGCAGCGGGCAAAGGCTTTTGGCCACGGCACAGTCAGTGCGTTTCGTCTCCTAGACATCAGCTTATTGTTGTTGCTACTATTGTTGGTGCTGTTGTTGTTGCAACATGGATTTCCGCTCGCTGCTCTGGCATTGTACAACCCACTACTTTATGGCGCACCACATGTGCACTTTGTAATCTGTCGGCGTTATTGCATTGCGGGTCGGCCAGGAGGTGGCGAGTGAGGGGGTCTTAGGTCGAAGAGGGTTGCAGCTGCGGCTCCATAGTTTGATGGAAAGCACTGAGTACACTT